CAGAGAAGTCAATTTTCCATTTTGCTGTGTGCTTGAGGAAGGAGAGCACTATTGTGGCAAACTTGACTGCGAATGGGGCTTGTGCCCCAACCCAGAGTCGGCTCAGATGTACTCTTTATGATCCCGGGGCTGCAGGCGAGTGGAGCGACTGGAGTGGGTGCACCTGCAGCTGTGACGGGGGACAGCCGGAACCCCAACCCCAGCGGAGAAGAGCAGAGTTTGTGCCTGCCTCTTCTACCACAAGAGGCAGACAAGAACGCGGCACATCGCCCGCGCCCCTCGCAATGGCGGCTTACCCTGTCAGGACACATTGCATTCCAAAGCTCGGACAGCTTCATGGTGGCTTGTCATAGCAGTGCCCGGATGCTTATGATCCAGGAGGGTGACAAAGAGCAGATCGCGTATGGCTCCTAGAGAGCAGTGCTTGCTTGAGGTGTTGCAACTTCAGCGATTCCCAGGCCCTGCAACACTCAGCCCTGTGGCCAGTCAGACTGTCGAGATGGGCAGCTGGATGCTTACCGGTTGATGGTTGGAGACGCTGCTCTCAAGACTTGGTCTTTTGACGTGAGGTGGGCTGAATGGACCTCATGGGCCCCCTGCTCCGTCACATGTGGTAGCCGAGCTCAGCACAATGCGGACCTTGCCGAGGAAGGCGCAGTACTGTATACAAGCTCGAAAGGTGGTGGAGTCAGATTCCGAAGACGAAGGCCACGGGACTACATGGGCTAGTGAGAATACCTGCACTGGCCCTCCATGCAAAGGATCGGAATCATGGCGAACGACTGTGGCCGCGAGCAGCGCGCCCAGGGTTGTTGAATGGCCCTTTGGGAAAAGCCTAGCACGGCGCTAGCCGCTAACCTGCACCGAAAGCTCAGGCCTCTGGGAAAGAATCGGGAGATTGCTTTCTGCGATGTGGGCGTTCATTGCTCGAGGTCTCCTCTGAAAGTTTCTTGCAAGTGCTACTGGAAACCCTGCAGTGCAGGCCCGTGGACTGCGAGCTTTCAGAGCCGGGCTCCGAGCTACGCATAGCTACGCCGAGCTACGCTCTTGCGGCAGCGGTCGGAGAGGGGGTCGGAGAGGGGGAGGGAGAGACGCGCGTTTCGTTTTAAAGGGAGAGTTCTCAGTGAGAGGTGGAGCTCCTGGAGCGCCTGCTCCTCGAGCTGCGATGGGATCCGCCATCGTTCCCGCGTGGTGCGCCGCGACCGGAGATCGCCGGAGACCGCCGGAGACGCCGTTACAGTGGGGGGGGGGGGGGGGGGGGGATGGCGCCGCTTTTTTTTTTTTTGGGGGGGTGCCCCGCCAGGTACGGGTTTACGGAAGGGCCGATGGCCGATGGTGCAAGGGCGTGTGGCCCTCGGTGGTGGCTTCAAAGGCTTGGGCTTTAGATGTGTTGTTTCGAGGGCCTGCGGGAGACGGCACCGTGCCATCCGACTTTCGGCTCCTCGCTGCCACAGGCCAGGGGCCACTTAGGGGGCACAGGACTTTCAGGAAGACCTTTCATGGCCACGCTCTTCAGCAATCTCAGCGCACTGCACGCTGCAGGGCTGTGGTCCGGGCCGCGCGCAAGACTGCTTGTTTGGTCCGTGGGAGGCTGGGCGAAATCCAGTCACGATCCAATCACGATCAACAGGTGCTTAGTACGCATAGCTGCCGTTGTAACGACGAAGCTGTGAAGGCTTGGAAAGAGTGCAGTGCTACCTGCGACGGCGGCGAGCATGCGTGCCTTGGTGACTGAAATTAGTTTTGCCAGTCACATCCACTGCTTCAGGACTGATCATCGTCGGCTGGGACGTTTAACGCATGCCTCCTTGGTAGCCGTCGTATTGTTTTCCTGCGAGACAGTGAAACACGAAACGGGCTTAACGGAACTAGGCACGCCCAGCCTGGCAGCAAGAGGCTTCAGCTGTATCTGTTGACGCTTCAGGCGAAGCCGAGAGATAGTTCAACATGCCAAGAACGGAGGACTACCATGTGGGGGCCCTATCCGGCTTCACCAAACACAGCAGCCTTTGCGCCAAACAAAGAGTAGAATTGCCAAGGCGAGGGCGACCTCAAGCAGATCTCCGAGTGTGCCCGGAGCTTTCCGACGGCTCCTTCGTTCTAGCAACGATCCTGCCAGCAAGTCTCGAACACAAGCGGCCCATGTGCACAGAGTACCGCATTGGGAACCCTTTTCGGGGGGGAACAGGGATTTGTAGCGGCGGGGCAAGCGGGCCTAGGGCAAGCCTTTCTTGGCACCGCCGGCCTCAGCTCGGGCCTAGCGGCTAGTAGCAGCCTTGTTCGAAGGTTTTTCGAGCCTTGTTCGCATATTAGTTCGCATAAGAGGGAAGTTGTTGTGTAACGCACAACTCTTATGCTTATGCAGCGTGAATCGGACTGCAGCGTACTTGATACTTGCTCGAGGCATCATCAAAAACGGCTGGGCAATTTTAGGTTGGAGGTCCTTCGTGGTGTTTTGTTATTGTTCTGGTGTGGCCGCCAGCCCATGGCAAATGACAGAAGGCAGAAGGCTGGTTCCCAACCAATGACACGTCGCAACAGTTTTCACGACTACAAGCAGGGCGACGCAGAACGTTCACGACACGAACGATCGCAGGGTCAGACATTGTTCGAATCAGGGGGATTGTGCGCAGCTTCTTTCCCGAACATAAAATGATGGAGCGCTTCATGGGCAAACCCTTCGCCCCCGCCAGCCCAGGCAAACTCCCTCTCCTCCTCCTCCTCCTCCCTCCCTTCTCCTCCCTCCCTTCTCCTCCCTCCCTCCCTCCTTCCCTCCTCCCTCTCCTCCCTCTCCTCCCTCTCCTCCCTCTCCTCCCTCTCCTCCCTCTCCTCCCTCTCCTCCCTCTCCTCCCTCTCCTCCCTCTCCTCCTCTCCTCCCTCTCCCCCCTCTCGCCCCTCTCCCCCCTCCCCCCCCCTCCCTCTCCCTTTCCTCTCCCTCTCCCTTTCCTCTCCCTTTCCTCTCCCTCTCCCTTTCCCTCTCCCTCTCCCCTCTCCCTCTCCCCTCTCTCCCTCTCCCCTGGAACACGTTGCAGAGGTATACTTTGTCCACACAAGGCAGCTTCAACAAGAGCAGGGCCAGAGGGGACTCGAAGAAGCGCGCTAGTGTTCGTCCCTCCGGTTCTACTGTGAAGGGACAAAACCTGGTTAACCCTTGTACTATCACGCCAATAGTTTAGGGCTCAGGGTACGTCCGGTGTCAGTTAACAGTATGCAAGCTTTGAAGAGATGCAACATTTCCCCAATGTCATCGTTCTAGGCTCCGGATGGCTTTATCAAACTGGCATCGTCACAGCAACTGCCAAAGTTCTTATGTGCATGTCATAGACGCTTTCCCTGGAAGTGTGCGGAAACGGAATCCATTGCATCCTTTATCTTCGTGATTGGGTCAATGCCACTTCTCTATCTGCTGAGCTTCTCTGGGACAGCGATGGGTCACTTCATGTGAACAAAGCGAGGCTCAGCGAGGCCCCAGCCCGCGGTCTTGAGCAGGCGCCACGAGCCACGAGCCACGAGCCATCCCTTCTCTCTTTTGGGGATTTTTCTTTTCCTCTCGCGAGACGAGACCTCCGCGAAGCCGCCCCCGGCCGCACGGTCGCCGGCCTCTCTCGAAGTCTCCTCTCCTCTCTGCCTGAGTTGTGATTCGAAGCTGGTTCTTTCGGCACGCCGCTTCGAAATCTAGCAGCATCAAGCATGACACAAGATCCCGTCCGAAAGCGGTTGAGTTTGAGTTGGATTCAGGCCAGACATGAATGCGGTGGCCCTGCACCCAAAGATTGCATTTTTGGTGATTGGGAGGACTTGAGGGCCTTCCGGTATCTGCTGCTTCACGGCAATGATTTTAATCGCACGCAAGGCATGAGACAAGCGTCCGTCATTCGCAACCCTTTGACAGGACTGGGGCGCATGTGGCAAGTGCAGTGGACAGAGAAAGAGGCCGAAGCTGTCAAGAACAGAAGATCAAAGTCTGCTTATGTCCTTTTTATGGTTATTGAAGCGATCCAAAAGGTTTCGCAGCATCCGGCAATATCCGACAGCTGGAGGCTGGAAATTCCTTGGCGGCCTTGTTGCTTGGAGCAAAGGTGACCGTGAGTGCATTTGGGGTTGAAAGGCAAAGAGTGTGAGCTCACGGACACCGAGGAGGCACAGCCTTTTGCCGCTTCCGCTTTGCTTTCTTTCCAGAGTTCGAAGAGTGCTTTTTTTGCAGTGCTCTGTTGCGCTGCTGCGCAGAGCGACTCGGGAGGCCGGCAAGTGCCCGAGAAGTTGCCACACGCAGCCTCGGCCTTGGTGCTCTTAGCGGAATGGTCCTTCGTTTCGGGTTCGTTTCGAGATCTGTGACATTCTGTGACTCAAGCGCTCTCAGGCATTTCTGTGGATGGGCAACGTGGGGCTTTTGGGGCTCCTGTTCGGCATCTTGTGGCCAAGGCCGCGCTCAGCTGTAGATTCTCGTCGTACTCGCAAAGTCGCAGAGCCTTGCGATGGTGACGTGGTTACATGTGGTGACCCAATGTGACCCTTGAGGCTACCGACAGCGGCGAAGGCACCTTCAGTGCCCAGCTTGGCTAGTGAGTGGATGACATCATCCGACAGACGGAAGACCTGAGATGCGAGTGAATCTAAGGCTGTCGGACAACCCGGATGCCCTTCTGCTGCTTGGATAGTTGAGCAGATGAGCAGACAAGCAGACATGTCACTGACACTGGTCGAGCAGTTTGACAGCACACTGAACTTTTGGCTTTAGGATTGGCCGCGATATGATCCAAGAGTACGATGATCTCGTCCAGAGAACGGAGGATGCTTTGCATGCTTGTTTGTACCTGGTTGTCCAGCATGGCCAACCAGAGGCGTGGTCGGTACGGCTCGAACCGTCAGGCTAGACCGGAAGCGAGCGATGCGTGTTCAATCGAGAGCTGAGAAACAAAGCAAGGACGAGAGGAGAGGCAATCGCCATAGTGAGCAGTAAGCAAACGTTTTTTTCTGTACGGATCTGTCATCTTGGCCCGATGGCGATTTCCAAGCTGCGCGTCTGGATGCTAGCGCTGAGCTTAGCCGCGTCAGGAAGGACCTTTCTGCAATTCTGGAGCTCCTCTGGAGCAACTCCCGGACGGTTGGGGAGCCGTCGAGCAAGGAGGAGCTTGCCTGAGGACTCCGCCGAGATTTCTAATTGTTTCTTGATCAGCACAGATTGCGCAAATGAGCGGCGGAGCAATGCCATCGCAGCTTTGGAAACTGTTTGCAATCCACGGGTCCGCCTATTCAAGCGTGATGTGACCGATGGTGCCCGCGGTTGCTACTTCTCTCATCTTGCGGTTTACGAGGAGATCACTTCTGAAGGTATGCCCTGGGCTGTGATTTTTGAAGACAATGTCCTGGTTCTCTCAGCTTCCGACCTAAAGACCATGCTTGATGCGTTAGATGGGTGGGCGAGTAGATCTTCCTGGAAGATTCTGCACCTGAGCCTGGTGCATTCAGCCGCCTCGCTGAAGCTGCTGAAGCTTCGAAAAGAGGCGAAGGTGCCGGGGCCGGGGGTCGTCAGGGTCGAGCGCACGGCACCTGATTGGTACGGTCCCGTGAAGATCGAACGTGCTCCCGGCCTTGGCACCACGGCTTACGTCATCTCAAGAGAAGCGGCAAAAGACGTTCTGCGAAGACATGCCGAGACCGGCTATGTGCAGCCCATTGATGACTTGCTCGCCGACCCTGGGCTTCCACATCCATGAGTATCAATTTTTGTGTTTCGAGGATGTGCAACCACTCCGCTTGAGGCTTAAGGGGTGCCGGTAAACGTTGGAGTAGCTGCACTGGCAGCATGCGACATGACAGTGCAACTGCAGAACACAAGTCATCAAGTGGCTGGATGAACCTCAGCAACATCAAAAGATGCTTGTCGACTCGGATGGCTTTAAACCTGTTGTGCCTTCGGCTCCTAGGGGAAAGCTCCAGGGTGCCGGGACGTCAGACTATAGGCGTTGCTGCATGTTTGCAATTAATATTGTATCAAGTCAAGACCAGAGAAGCGTTGGGGGTCCATGTAGGCGTTGCAATTGTTGTCGTCACCATCATGCAGCATTCGATGGAATGAAACGTGCGATTTTGGATGCTCAAGCAGGCCAACTCGAAGTCTAAGGATATGTTTGGAGCCAGCGGCACATTCGCTGCATTTCCCGCTCCAGTGCATCGCGGAAGGGTTGTGAGCCTCATCAATCCGGATGCTCGGACGAAAACAAACAAACTCAGAGCGGTAGGCTTGTGGACTCCAGCGCTGTGTTGTCTCCGGGTTCTCTGAATACACGGGTTGCATGTCTACGAGGGATTTCCAGCGATGTGCCGTCCTTATCTGGCCTTGTAATGTTGGAGCGGCACTGGTTTTAGCAGCACTGGTTCAGCGCAGTTTCTTCCAGCACGCTTCTGACCGAAAGCAAGACTGTGGGCGAGGTGTGCATCATGTTGTTCGTATTGTACGCAACGGTGTAAAGTAGCCATGCGGTCACGTTTTGCCATAAGAACAAGTTCAGCATTTCGCTGTCTGCAGCTGTCTGGTGATACGAAGACCTTCAAATCACTGCAGAGAATGTGGTCGTTCTTAAGTTGAGTTGGCTTCATCAATTGCGGTATGGCAGGCACCTGGCAGCCCTCAAGCCTCCGCGGTTGCACCTCGACTCGAACCGAGGACCAGGAGCTTTTTCGCTCAGTGATGTACGACCCTCGTGTTTTCAAAAACTTGGATGCATGGCAGCATTAGTGGAAGACATGACACCAGGTGTTTGTGCCACATGCCACTACATGATCTACATGCTACATTGGATTGCGGTGTCGGCCCCGACGACACGAGATGACTGTATACAGTCTGTGCAGAGCTACCGTGCCGACGCATGTTTACTTTGTTTGTGCAGTTTCTGGGCAGTTTGCAGCCTGAAGAAGCGCCGCAATGCCCAGCCGCCTTGCAGAACTTTTCATTTGCCCAAACCGCATTCCTGTGTTGATCCCATTCTTGACTCCGCATGCAAGATGAATTCTGCGTGCTCGTGGAGGCATGCTGCGTGGGAATTTGGTTTGGCCCATTTTTGGTACAAGATACAGAATCTGTTGAGGCATTCTGTCGACGAAAGGCGCTTTCGCTGTGTGCGATCTATTCAAAGCCGTTTTCTTATTCCACATGGAATTCTGCGGGATTGCATCGATATCTTCAACCAGGCCGACCGATCCCGGTTGTCAGGTGTACGGTCAGGTGGAAACCTAGGGCCACCACTGCTGCTGCTTCTGCCCTTGCTAGTACTACTACCCCGCGGCCTGAGTGCAACTAAGATGTAGGAGTGCTGACAGCCTGTTCACCTTTCGTAGCAGCACTGCCGGTGTCGTTTTGCGGGGCCTGATAAACTAGGCCTGACCAGGCATTCATGCTGGAATGTTTGCGTCCAGAGACCAGTGTGCGCCCGCGCGTGTCGCCCAGGAATGGACACTGGTTCAGACGGGCTTATCGAGCAGCCAACTTGTTTGGGCATTTCTTTCTGCCATGGCGGTGCCTGGCGAACAGATAGCTGCTGCAGCTTTTTATGTGTTTTGGTCATTCGGTTTTGTCATTTTTCGCTGGGATCTCCGACTTGAAGACAACTGAGGCATGGACTGTGGGTGTAACCATCCCAGCCTTTAATGCGCTGCTGAGATGAGAGTGCAGACAGTGAAGAATGCAGAAGGCGCAAAAAGGTGACGAAGTCCTGTCGTTGGCCGAGATGGGAAGGAGGCGTTCTGTCTGTGCTCTGTTTTGTCAGGAGCTGGATGCGCGACACTTCCGGGAGCTGGCCATGGCCTTTGCCACTGGCGGTCGGGTTTCCCAGCTTCGCCTCACGGCCTTACGGCTTCATGGCCTCGCTTGCGTCGGGCCAGACTTTCCATGCTGAGGTGCCTGCCTGATGGTTGTCTTCATGGCGCTGCGGGGCGGGACTTCTTGGGGCCAGGACCGGCGTTGCTGGACGTGCCTTGAAGCCTGAAGATGTCTATTATGAATCAACGCTTCCTCTGTTGCACGGCTCTGCACTGTTTGTGTGCCGCGAATAATTACATAAACAAAGAAGTGACCCCCGTGTTTGTTTGCTGTGCGTTAGTTAGTCCCTCGACATCCCTCGACAGGGAGCCCACTCGAGCAAGTTAGTGGAACCAACAACAATGACTCTCCATCGCATCCCATCGAAACCGATGGAAATTCATGCTATGAACTACATGCGTTTATTCAAAGCATTCAACATCTGTTGGAATCCATCAAAACCAATGGACATCCATCTAGGGAATTCGGTTAAACTCAGGTTCAAAAGCCATTAACATGCATTGAGTTCCTTGAAAGAATTACAAGGCGCAATTAAGATCCTGTGAATATGTAGTTCGAAAAGCCACTCAAATCACATGCAGATTCAATGGAAATCCGTTAAGATGTCAGTAAAACCCAGTTGTGCCTCTATTCAAAATGAAGTTCCAGCGACATCAACAGAACTGCATCACCATGCAGTTTGAATCCTGGTCCTATTGATGTTGCAATCTGGAGCCGACAAACCTTTTTAATTCCACCAACATCCATGGAAGCCAAATAAACTACCAGAAAATTCAATCCCTGGTTCCCGCAAACAGCTGTAAATTCTCCACCAGTGCGCCCGGCTACCTTGATGACATTGCTTTGTTAATGTCCCAATAAGATTTGATTGGCACGAGCCCACCCAATCCACGGACTGGCCTTCTGCAAGATCCTCTCCTCCAGATCTTGTGTAGTACGACCCACCTGCGGCAAGTACCTGCATTCACCAACCACCGGGCACACTTGACCATCATAAAAAGTTGCATCTGCAGCAGCAGCAGCAGCAGCAGCAGGCACGCGGACTTGTCCACACCTACATTGAAGACCTGGCGGATGCGTTCCACCCATTCAAACTTTAAATCGGGCTGTACTGCGGCAGGGGCGATCATTTGGGTAAATTGTGGAAGCTTTATCTGGTCGCATCTTCTTGCATGTGCACTGCCTCCTGGCTCGTGTGCGCAGCCTCATGGCGCAATTGGGCTCAACAAGTCAGCACGGACGTGCTTCATGCATTCGGCGTTGAAGCCTGAGGCGTTCACAGCATGCAAAGCTGAGCTCAAAGACCTTCACAGCACTTGTTTGGCAATTGGTTGGCAGCAACTGGATCCACATCTGTTACATTTCGCCAGTGAGCGAACCACAGGTTGTGAAATCCCCAATCTGATTGCAGCGATCTTCGAAGCTCGGCTCTTTGTTCTGTGGTGGCCAGGGGCTTCGCGCAGGTGTGATGTAAACAAAGTTCGCAACTGCCAGCAGTCGAAACGGCTGCTTCTTTTGAATGGGCGATGGGTCCCAAGCAGCCGAAACATTGCATCATTTCCTCCTTCGGTGTCTGACCGCTGCCACTACCACTACCACTTCCGCTACCGCTACAACTACAACTACAACCACTAGCCAGTAACCACTGATCACTTAGCCACTAGCCACTAGCCACTGACCACTACACACTTAACCACTAGCCACTAGCCACTGGCCACTGCCACTACGACAACTACCACTAGCACTACTACTACTACTACTACTACTACTACTACGACAAGTACTGCTACTGCTACTACTTCTACTACTACTTCTACTACTACTTCTACTACTACTTCTACTACTACTACTACTACTACTACTGTCACTACTACCACTACCACTACTACTCCTACGACTACTACTACTACTACTACTACTACTACTACTACTACTACTACTACTACTACTACTACTACTACTACTACTACTAATAGCACTCTACTTAATAGTACTGCGACTACCACTACCACTACTGCTGATACTCCTACTCCTACTACTACTACTACTACGACGACTACTGCTGCTGTTGCTACTTCTGTTGCTGCTGCGACTGCGACTGCTACTGCTCCTGCTCTTGCTCCTGCCCCTGTTGCTGTTCCTGCTCCTGCTCCTGTTCCTGTTCCTGCTGCCACTACTGCTGCTGCCATTCCGGCTGCTGCTGCTAGTGCTACTGCTACTGCTGTTGCTGGTCCGATTCCTGCTTCTGCTCCTACCCTGACTCCTACTCCTACCACTCCGACTACGGCTCCGACTGCGACCGCTTTTACTACAACAACAACTACTACTGCTACTGCTACTACTACTACTACTACTACTACGACTACTACTACTACTACTACTACTACTACTACGACTGCTTCTACTACTACTACAATTTCTATTGCTTCTACTGCTTCTACGACTTCTACTACTTCTACTACTTCTATTACTTCCACTACTTCTACTACTTCTACTACTTCTATTACTTCCACTACTTCTACTACTACTTCTACCCCTGCTTGCGCTGTCACTGCTATTACCGTTTCGATACACCAAACGATAGCCTAACGATATACAAAACGTCGATGATGAGGCTATCCATGAGCCATGCCCATCTACAATGCGGTGCGAGTAGCACATGTGAGGCATTTGAACAGCTGTTGACACTACATCCAATTGAACATTGTAACATGAGTCGCAGACGTAGCTACGTGCCTGTAATCCTGTTAAAGGATAAGTAAGGGAAACTAAACGACGACACGCCTTCTCCAAGGAGAGCTTTTGGGAGCCATAATTCTCCAAGGAGAGCTTTTGGGAGCCATAATATTGATCGTCGACCAACTGCTATTCAACTTCATGCAGCGTGCCATCTAGGTGCTATACTGAGTACAATTCAACTGCACAGTCACATGAAGGCGCCGTGGCATCTAGCGTATAGAGTCGTGTACAGGCCCCACTTATCGCAGTAACACAACAGCAGCATAGGGTTTGTTTTTTTGGGTGCGCATTGGCGTAACGTGTCCGACGCCGAAAACGAAAGCAGAGCAAACAGACGAAGAATGAAGCACGCAGCGAAGGCACACCAAAAGGAACGCACAGAAAGAACAAGACTTCGTGTGGGTCTCCATGCTTCCGTCCTCCCAATGCGTGGTTGTATCTCCCATGAAAGGAAGGCATGTAAAGCAAATGAACATGCTGAGAGCGCCAGCGCCTTTGGAGCTTTGATTGGCTGAGATGGCCTGGCGGCGATCCCGGGATCTGCGGCAAGCAGCGAAGCGAATCGCGTGGAGTTGAGATTCTTAGCAGTTGTAGCAATCCAAAGCGCAGCATACACTCTGCAGCAGTAGGGCGTTCAACCAACCATTTCCGCTAGCGCCTTGTGCTATTTGCGCTTCCCCAGTTTTGCCATTGGGCACGCCTCGTCCACACCCGAATATACTCGGCCCAGTGATTTGCACGTGCCCCCGCAATTATTTGTGTCCGCTGGGCCACTGCAACTGTATGTCGATGGGTTTTATCCACTGATCAGAAGCCGTGATTTTCGCCACAATCACTCCTGACATCTTGAGAGGTTAACATGCCGCACTAAGCTGAACAGCAGACATTTAGCATCATTTAGCGGCGAGATGCTTCCACTCTGGCATCCGTTTGAGTTCGCGACCACAGATGGCGAACAGAGCCTCCTGCGGCAACAACAGAAAGTACTTGAATCCTCTCTCTTGATGTCGAGAGGAACCACCATGACACAAATCTCGCGACATGTGCAGGCATATCGTACTGCGGAGGGCAGCGCGTCCTCTCGCACGTCTCGCACTCTGCCGGACGTTGAGGTTTGTTCCCAGGTTCTATGGGTAGGTGCAACCTTCCTGTTCTGAGGTTTTCGAGAGCAGATAGTTTTCGTCCAAGAGTGCAGGATACTGTCCAGCCCTCTGTGGAAAGTTGGAACCGCCGATTATTGAGCATGTAGTAGCATGGCTAAGGCAGAGACAGCGAATGGAGAATACTGCCCGGGACCGAATCCACTCTGACATTCAGTTGCATCAGACGTGTCCTCATCCGAGTCCTGGTGGCAAGCGAGCAAGAAATCGAGCTGGGAGCCAAGTCCAAGTGTAATTTGCTGTTCAAGAGACATCCAGCTTTCAGTCTGACCGTGCCGGCGCAGGTTGCCGTGGGCTCCTCGTAGCCACGAGGAAGAGTCCAGTTGAGGCTGCTTGGGGACGGCACTTCGTGCTGAGAGATTTGATGTTGGTGGGCAGCTTGCCAGAATCGTCAGCCTCTTCAGCTCATCGAATCGAACGCATGGTGCCGGGACCTTAGCTCCTTGTCTTCGGCAGCCCGCATTGTAGCCTAGTGTGGCAGTGTGGCGCAGCTACATTGGATGATTGTCGGTGTGGATTCCCATCTGTGACGGCATACCGAGTGGCAACAGAGCTAACAGACACCAGTTCGAAAGTGCTTACGGCCTAGCTGAGGCACCAAAGAAGTGAGCCTGTGTTCTTTGTGCGCACTGTTTAATTACATTCGTACCCAATCGACTGCCCTAGCCATGCCCAAGAATTTCTCTGTCGCGACCCCACGAGCTAATTCTACATTAGTTCTCACTTGGTGTTTCACATTGCTGATAGAATTGGCAGTTCGCAGTTCAGCCTGTGTCAGAGACGCTGTGGCTGTCTTGCAGCCCATAGGCGCAAAGCACATTTACACGGTCTAGCTCCCATCAGCTTTGCAAGCAAGGGGCAAGTGTTGAAGTGCAAGAAAAGATGCTGAGCTGCATCATTCGCCTTGTTTGTCAAATGTGGTGGCCACGGCGATGCGTGGATTGTGATTCGTCCGTTTGTCGTGATCCTCCCCGCCAAAGCTTTCAAAGTATGCTTGCGGGCCAAAAGGCAGATGAGTGGCTCTTTTGCGCTGGTGTGCATATCTATCCGACAACTACAGCCAGTAAATAGCATCAAAGCAACGAGTTCGGCATCCAATGAAACTCTGGCTCTAGCGGCCCTAGCACTCGAATTCCAACATCTTTTCAACATGTTGCATGTGGGGCTGAAGTCGCGCCCCCTTTACAGCACTGGCAGGCTCCCGAGCACCCCGCAGCTGCACAGCCCTCTGCTCCGCCCCCTCCACCAACGGATTCAAGTCCCGCAGTGTGCAGCCCCAGTTTGTTCAGCCTCGCTTCAGCGACAAGTTCAGTAGGAGAGGCGGCAGGGAGCGCGAGCGCGGGGAATGTTTCAGCTGGCGGCTCTAGCACCGCAGCACTGGCGCCTGCTCGTGGCGGGGATCCCCCATGGACACCCGCAGAGCGCCCCGATTCTGCGGCGCCTGTTGGAGGCCAAGAGAGCAGCTAAGCAGCTGGGCAGAGCATTGCTTGGAGCCTTCGAAGTTCGAAGTCGAACGACACCTCCAGAGCCTCCGATTTTTTGGGGGGAGGCGTTCCAACCGGCGATGCTCTTCCTGGAGATTGACAAACAAGATCTCGCGGGCTTGAGAATGCTCCTCAGTCTGAAGCTTTCAGAAGCTTTCACTAGTCACCTGTCCTGCAGGATCCCTGCAGGTGCAGGAGCTTTGCACTAGGAAAGCATATCCATGGTTTGGCAGCTGTCCGTGTTGCTGGCAGTGAGAGACCCGTTTCCGTTTGGGGAAGGTCGGGATCGTCGGATTCCGTGGCTTCAGAATGTGCCGAAGCGTTGAGGCGCAGTTGCAGACATCGCTTGCTGAAGCTAGCCGGAGTGACAGTTGAAATCTGCTCAGGTGGGCGGAGGGGCACAGCAGAAAACTGGCTCCAATTGACCGTGAACAACTAACGACGCGCCGTCGTTTGGCACAGAGCTTGTCCTTACATCCCGGCCAATTGCTGAGTTCGAGGCGTGCTCAAAATTCAACCGGTTCTATGCGGCTTGCCGCAAAGAGTCCAGTAGTTGAAGCAAAAGTATGGCAGGAGGCACTGGGGTGCAGTGGTGCCACCGACAGCCTGCGCGACAGCTTGGAGAGAGCTCCTTCTGCAAGACTGTCCCGTTTTGCATGAGGTGATGCTGGAAGAAGCTTGGTGAGCTTCAGGATGCTTCAGTCGGTAAGACAAGTCTTTATTCACTTACCACAAACTTCGGACATTGTGCGATCGTGGGATGCTCGCTATCAAAGCTACTACGTAGCATACAGCTATTGTGCATGCCGCTGCGGGGGATGGAAGCTGACTAGAATCAAGAACTCTTGCACCCCTTTGGTCTGCATGTGTGCCTTGTTTCAGGATTCACAGGAAGAAGCGTTGGCGTCCCTTCCATGACAATCGAACCACTAGCAACAATAGATAACAATAGTAGTCATGAATCGCCAACCCCCATTCCATAAGAATATTTCCCCAATAAACAGCAATGATGAAATGGCTCCTCATTCCAGTCTTATTGTAATGGTGCCCCCGAACGAAAACTGTTCCCTTCAATTAATCACATGGGTCCAACCCGAGGCCGGCAACGCAGTAAACTACGACAAGTCTGCACCTATCATTGTACGTAGTCGACGGACGACCAGAGAAGAATCTCAATAGAACAAGAGTAAGGTGCAATTGGACAGCACAGGAGTAGGCAAGCCTTGAAAAGACCCTCCTTGCTTGGCACTCATGATTGTGTTTGTTTTAAGTGAGCTACTTCCACCTTTTTGGCCATTCGGGATATTTCGTTCTCGAGCTTCAGTCTTGGCTCTCGGTTCTACAACTCTTTGCAACTCAGATGCTAGTCAGTGCGACCTGTGCTCCCGAACTGAACTCGTGGCCACCCTTACAAAGTTTCCCAAACATGGTGAGCAAGTTTAGCTGGAGGAGAGAGACGAGTTCATGGCCTACCAGATATTGCTCGGTTTGGAGCGGCATCTTTCGAGTCGCTACAAGTTTGCTGGCGATCAAAGCGAAGACCAGGACCTGGTGTGCCGCCTGCAGCGCAGGGCTGCTGCAGAGACGGCGCGCATCGGCGCGGCGCTTCGCTGGAGCCTAGGAGAGCGCGGGAGGCTCGGAAGCGTGGTGCCGGAGGTGGCGGGGGTGCAGGAGGCTCCTGTTTTGGACGAGCTCGACGAGTGGGCGTCTTTCTCGGTGCCCGACGCCCGTCCGAGCCCGGAGCACGTCGTCGTCATTTGCGGTCCCGCTCATGTGGAGGCGTTGCGGCATCGCTTGGAGGCTGCCTTGGGCGATTCCAAGGCGGCGCATCGCTTCCTTGCCCAGAATGCGGGGCTTCTCCCTCGGCTTCTCATAAATGCAACTTGGAGGTGGGAGCCCGGATCCCCGCAAGACATACTTAGCATGGTGGAGAGCATGCCGTCTCCCAGCGACGCTGTGCTTCACGCGCAAGGCCATGGACCAAGGCCTCATGGGCCTCTGACAGCCATGGCTGCATCCGCTTCGAATGCATTGGGGTTATCAGCGGCCAAAGCCAGCCCTGAGAACCGTGTACCCTTTGCAGGGCCAGGTCCTTTGTTCATTCATGAGCGCTTGCGTTCACTGTCGCAGAGACCTCTTCCCGTGTGGCCCGTCTTTTTGATCATGTACATTCTGGCTCCCGTGCTGGCGTTTTTGGTCATCCCGATTGCCATTGACATGCGTTGGCTTCAGGCCTCTGCGTCCTGGCCAGCTTTCCCATTCAGCGAAGAAAGTCGAAGCGATGAAAATCTTTCAGGGATATACTGTCAGAGAGTCCAGCCCAACAGCTTCAATGCACTGCCTCTGATCTGCGATCTGCAACTTCTGCGGAGATCCTTCAGGTTCCCGCGAATTCTGAATTCTGGGTTCGTTCATGACCGTCGGCCTGCAGACAGACAACTCTCACCCCTGAACTGAACAATTGCCCAAAATTTTGTACCAGCAGCGTGTGATGAGTGGAGAGATAGAATCCGGCATATACACCACGCACAATGAAGCAACGAAGTGCCGTCCGGACCCTACCCCGGTCAAAGAGCAACGCCGGAAAACACGACAGAGTATTCGCACGTGTTTTTATTTTGCCCTTGCAAAAAGCCTCGCTAATACAATCCAGTGCGACTCGCGTCGGTACAGTGAACTATGTCGATTCGCACTTTTTGGTGAGATCGGGCTCGCCTGTCGCCCTGATGTTGATGTGCAAAGTATGCACATTCGTCAAAAGTTACAGGTCACTGAGAGGATGGTTAACGGAGTTACACAGTTTGCCTGTTCGAATGAGTTCAAGGGTAGAGAAGCGCGTCGACTCACAGCCTGGTAGAAGAACCAGAGCTGGAGTCATGAGTGCTGCAAGACATTGCGATTCTGAAGCTCATCAGGGATGTATGTGTTGTGTAGGCATCCAGACCATCTTCCTTTCATTGTGTGGCTGGAGCCCCGTGTCTGAAAGTCGTCTCTTCTGCTTGGCTCGTGTACAGAAGACAACAAGAACGGAGCACCAAGTGGGCTCTAGCACTCTAGTATACTCTAGTACTTGACAGTTGACGTGAGTCAGTCGGCAACATGCTCCAAAGCATGCTGCTGGTCATTGCAGTTGCAGCAAGCGCTAAACAGCAACATCTACAGTAAGTTAAAGATTTGTTGCAAACAATGCCCATGCGAGGGTTTCTTGTAAACAGATGGTCTTCAAGCAAAACGTGGGGCGGAAACTGCCACACAAGGCAAGTACCTAGATTGTACAAGTAGCACCACTAGAAAGCTTTGCTTTCTGCGACCGCAACAGCTCCTGCCGCTCCCAGCTGTGCCATGGTGGAGCAGCTCCGGCTCTTTGAGGAAGAAGCGGAAGATGACACAGATCTGGTGCTTTGAAAGCATGAGCTTTTTTTAGAGACTTCCGTAGAAGCTGCGTGTCTGCGGCCGCCTCGGCACACGAGCATTCGAAGCAGTTTGGTCGTAGGTAGGATGATTTTGATTTTGCACGGAGGGATGCTTCAAGATCAGGTCTTCGCGCAGGTCAACACAGAATTCTCAGTCCCTCCACGGAAGACTGTCCCAACTCCTGCTTCTGCTTATCATCAGAAGCTGATTGCTTCCAATGCGGGGAGTTCTTCTCCACTCTCTGTACAGTACTCAGCGCCCATAAACGGCTCCAGCTTCTCGGACGCTTATCGGCACCGGAATCTTGGAGCGAATGATGCTAGCGACTAGCATTCCGGCTAGTGTAGACCCCAAAACAGTGAAAGAGTTCCTGGACCTTGCAGCCCCAGCCCTGCATGTGCACGAACCATTTTGGGCCAACCTCGGGGCTTAGACGACCACCGCGTAAGGCACCCCAAAAGGCCCTCCCTGCGAGTTGGTAAAAACACCCCCAGAACACGTGCGGCACAGCGCCGAGCTGCAGCCAAAATGTGATTGGCGCTGGTGGGAGCTCGGAAGTCCACACCCCGAGGAAGCGGTTTGCACTGCTCGTGCTTTAGCATCTTCGACTTGAAGGCCGACAGCAGCACAGAGGCACGACTTCCTCCTGAAAACACAGTAGAGTTTCGTATGGTGAAGAGGCAGGCGAAAGCACGATTCATCAGGTTGAACAGCGCCAAAGTATCAGATTTTCCAATGCATTCGGCATATACAACACAGGACAGTATATAGGCAGGAGATGGGTTCGCCTGGTCCAAACCGGTCGGCCAGAGGCGAAGGAATTTTGGCTGCCTCGTTCCAGCCGCAGCAGCACGCTGGTTCTGTGTAATATGGATTCCTTGACAGAATCCAAGGAAGACGATGAGGAGGAAGAGGCTGAGGCGTGCCTTCGGACAGGGAGCTTTCTAGTTGGGCTGATAAGACACGAGTCAGCGTCAAGACGTAGCAGCTAGCCACGTCAATACTGACCAAGCATGGCACTTCCTGCATGGCGATGCGTCATGATTTGTTCTTCAGGCAGCTTGGGTTTGGCATTCGCTGCTTTGCTGAGCTTGCGACACGTTGGCAGGCGGACGAGGATTGTGAAGATGCCGTAGAAGATGCTGACGGACTGGATGATACCAACGAGGACATCGACCTGCAGACAGGTAGACCAGGTTGTTCGACCGTTCCTCTTGGAGGTAGCCAGGCAAGTCCTTTCAGTCTGCGCTTTGCGCCGAGGGCGGTGATGCTCAGCTTGGATCCCGCATCCTAGCACGAGTGGCAGAAGGCCAGAACAGTGACAGAGCAAGGCTCGCGGCCAAGCCATGAGTATTGAGGCAAGCAAACGGATCTCAACGCGCTGAAGCAAGAGATTCAGGATGATGCCAGCCTTCTGGGTCAGTGGAGGAAGGCGCCACTTAGCTGCACTCAGGCGGTGCTCGAGGCAACGGTGATGCAACAGTTTTCGGCTTGTCAGCTCGGTCTAATTCGTTCCTCAGGCAAGAGTTGGGTGAGAAGCGCACAAGGGAGGAGGTGCGATCTTGGTCTCGAAATGTTGGTGCATCCCTCTTGTGTCTACAGAGGTCTTTAAAGGCCTTGTCGCCAACTGCTCTACTTACTTCGGGTACTCTGAAGAGCTGGCCGAGTACTTTCTGCAGATGTTCAGCCCGGAGACGGCGATCAAGTTCTTCGAGGTGCCTCTCGCATGCTCATGCTCTTGCACGGATGCCGTGAAGGCTTCGTTTGCCTGGTGGTTGCGTCTCAGGCCAACGAGCAGCAACGTCCATTGACTTTGCGGACTAACACGCTCAAGGCAAGGAACAAGCTCCTCCGCAGGGCATCCGTCTTCACATCTCTTTGTGCCTACCACTGGTTCTCCAAGGAGTGAAGCTTTACGTATGTCTGAAGCTTTGGGGAATGGCTTATGGGGCTGTGGACAGGTGGACAGAACCCAACAGTACTGGATCTTCGGACTAGGTGTGCCGTGTCTGAGTCGGCTGGGTAGGCCGCAGGCCGCGGGGCCGCTGAGCTCCACTCGCATTTCCCGTTCTGTTCGGGAACAACTCACAGCCCTTCGCACCTACATAGTGCGTGAAGATGATCCGTAATGGTGCTCAGCGACCCTTTCGTGCAAGATCCGATAGACGCTTGTGCATCGCGAAACTTGGCCTTTGGACTGGAGCAAAACGTCGTGAACATCAGAATTCGTTGGTCGTCTGCGTCAAACGCATGTGCCATGGAGATGAAGGGTCGAGAATGCCCAGGGGCTGAGATTCAGATGAAGTATTGCATCAGCAGCATTGCACATATGCAGCTGAAAATCGCAACTGTCTAGAGATATCTGAGCGGTTCTTGAGTTGGCAGGCACGGCGCTCGTCCTTGATGCAGGCGCTTACGCAGCGCAAGGCACGATGGTCGCACTGCAGACTACTGTAGCGCCCGTCCTACAGCTCGGCTGTTTTGCACCGCCGCTGCCTCACTTGTCTGCAGTGGTCTGAGCGTGGAGGTCCAAGTGGATCCGGTTGGAAGTTGGACCAAAGTTGGTCTGAAAGTTTATCAGTCACAAGTTCCTGTTGGCGCGACTCCGGAATACCTGGGTGGTCACTACATGATTCAGAGCCTTGTTTGCACAGTGCCTGATGATCGGTCCATTTGTGCCTGCGCGGCCGCAAGAAGTGCTGTTTCAAGGAGTGCATCTTCGTTTATTCCAGTGATGGCATTGGCTCCACAACAGGACGAGGCCCTGACGGTCTGAGGTGTAATTTAGGACGGGAGTCCACGAAGGGTCCCCCCCCGAACAGCGTCGCTCAATTGGCAGCTAGTCACCAGTCATCGCTTTTCAAGTCTTGGTGAGGACTGCCAGCTTTTGAGCGCTGTTGATTGCTGCTTATCGGTGGTGCGAGTGTTTGAGCGGTTGAGCGCTATAGTTGCTTAGTGGGGATGATGCAGTTCAGAATCGCTGGAGCACCTCACCGCTGTCTCAGTCCTGCGAGTCGAGAAACCATGCAGCAACGGCGCTCACGAATATAGTCTGCATGAAGGTAGTCCACATCCGACGAACAGTTGGAGCCAAAGTCACGGCAACCACAATCCGAAAGAGAACCGAGCCATGGCAGCCCTTGGTGGGCCATCTGGTTATGCGAGACAGCAGTCGCCGGTGTCACCGAACACGTCTGACGCCCCCGAGTTGCTGAACCCACATGGGACACTTAGCGGCACATCTTGACCTCTGTGCTCTGTCTTTCACGTGCTATCATGTGCGGACCCTTGTGCTGTCGCCACTGAGGAGTGTGCGGAGAAAAGTTCTCATATTGCTTTTGTGCTGCACAGAGGGCAGGTCCAAGCTTTTGCACATGTCCCGTCCGTCATTTGGGTAGGAGTCTGTGTTATCCTAGGTACACTGGTGGCACAATTGGCATGGCCCGCGGTGCAGACGGGAGCTTGGGCCCAATTCGCGGGGCATTGAAGAAGCGACTGCAGTCTGTTGACGAGCTCAATCAGGATGCTGGACACGAACTAGCTTTGTTTCGTCCGAGCTTAGAGAGTGAACGGCGTACCTAATCGCCGAAGGAGCTTTTTCCCCAGTGTTTCTTCGATGAGTTCGACCCGCTGTTGGACTCCGCTGACATGTGTCTTGAAATGTAAGGCCTTGCGATTGACTTGTTCGTTTCTCTTCGCTTTCAATGTGCAAGTCGGTTGTGTGTGTTGAGGTGCCCTGAAGATTGGTGCACCATGGCTTCGTGCATCGAGCGCCATTACTACGATTTTGACGGCTTTGTCGTAGCCCGGTGCTAATGAATAGTGCAGACGAGCTTGGCAAAACCTTCAGAGAAGCTCTTCTCAGCTGCACCTTCGTTGTATCCTGACCTAAGCCCAAAGCCAAGGTCTTGCATGGCACGGAATCTCAAACTGCAAGAATGCAAGCAACTGCATGTGGCCGTTGATCTGGACATTTTCTGAATGCGTGCTAAGCCTGCCCGAGGACACGATGGCCTACACTGCATCGGCGCTTAGCTTCATGCTCGAGCAGCTCGCCAAGCCTGTCATCCTTACAGGCACACCCATTGCACACATCCAACGCGCTGCATAGATACTGGGTAAGTGTATGAATGTACGTACATACGTACGCAGGTAGGTGTGTGTAGTATGTATGTATGCACGTAGGATCACGTAGGTAGGCAGGTAGGTAGGTATGTACGTATGTGATTTTGGTATGCTAAGAATTCTCAGAGGCTTTGAAGGCGGGTGGAACCTTATCCGCACTCGAAAATGAACCCCGCTCTACGCGCCGCATGCCCCCAACTCTCCCCCTCCCAAAAAGAAAGCATGATGCATCTCAGTGACTTTGTGCTGATGCTGGAGCCTACCTCCCATGACCTTTGGGGAATTCTGAAAAAATGAACCCAGCCGCATCGTGATGGCTCTGGATCCCACTACACCCTGTCTTTGAATCCATGGAGCTACGTGAGTGACTAAAGAATACGCACGGGTCTAGCAAGCCGAGCATCGCTTGCTCCGACACGACACTGCCGCATCTGCCGCTGCAGACCGATTCTATTCGTCGTGGTAGCAACAAGCTTTACACGTGCCGGGGGAAATCGACCTGGCGACACGGTGCTACCGAGTGATGCCCTCGGCACCCATTTCGTCCAAAGATGAACGACGAGGATTCGGCTGGCCGGCTCCCCGAGCATTGAGATAGAAAAGTGGGCATTGCGGCGACTCTCAGGAGGACATGGGATGCAGTGCCTGTGCACATGCCCGTGACGGCTCCCCGACCCACAGGCGCCGATGTTGAAACGCGGCAGTGATTCGAGACAGCGATCAGAGATCAAGCATCCAGTCCGTTCTCCAGTTCGTAAATGCAACTGAGAAGGATTGTGGGATGACCTTTGTGCATGTGTTCCGGGCGCCGGGGTCTATCGTTGCAACACCAAAGAGGCTTCGACACAAAAATTCCACCGTAGCGTCGTTTTTTGACATTCTGGTTGTCGTCAATCCTTATTCGCCGGGCACATCTACATCCTCGCGACAAGTGCTTCTCAAAGCCGTCGAGGCGCCGACGACACTTGTTGCATGCTACCCGCTGCCGAGCAAGATGGGGTGCCTTCTTCTTGGATCCCGGTGTTCATGTGCCTGCCTCTTTCGAGCCACCTCAGCCTGACTCACCTCGGGTTGCCGCACATCAATCGTTTCTGCCGAGAAAGGGATTGATTCTGTCGAAGTGTGTGCTTCCAGCGTCTTTCTGCACACCAGCGGTCCGTGGACTCTGTTGAAAGTGCACATCTTACCGTGGAGTTCTATGAAAGTAGACTAGTTGACTAGCTCCATCCAGCATGCATGCTGTATTGTTCTTTGAGACGAGATGAGGCGAGGAAACTTGTTCGTGGAATGCTAAGTTGAAGCCTTGCATGAGTGCATGAGGAATTCCTCGGCTCCTTGGCGGTTTAAGAACTAGACAGGAGCTTGCAGCTTTTTTGAGGGTTTTTTGAGGGTTTGAAGAACTTGCTTTTCGGAACAAGTTGACAAAGTGCAAACATTGATTCACCAAGTGGGTTCAGTTTCGGGTTTGTCCCGCTCCATACAGAAAGACAGCGCAATGGTCCACGTGCAGGAGGCTTGCAGTCACCAACACTATGTATTCTGTCGTCCAAGATTTCCTGTACGTCTTTGTCCTGTACCACGAACCCCCAACACGCCGCTGAGCATGAACGCGACAGCCTTCTGCACAAAATGTGGGTTGCTTCTAAGCGAAGGCCGACGAAAAATCTTGAAAAGAGTACGGCTTCATGCTTGAGCCATGCCCATGAGTGTGGTGCCTCGTTTGCGAAACCATCAACAACAGCTTGCGGAAGGACAGTCTATGCTGCGTCCAACACATTGTGATCGTGCGCATGAGCCGTCAGAGGCTGTTTGACAGAACGTTGATTTGAATGATCACATGCCCCCTTTCAACTCGCAGATGTGAGAATCCTTATGTGCACATAGGTTGATGTGTATGGTGGCCTCTTTCCTGTTGCTGAATGTTGCTCGTTGCACCTGGAGGCTCTCAGCTTCCAATGGAGGAGCCCTTGACGGCAGCTTGGCTTAGTTGATACAACCCCATTACAGCAGGCAAGTTTTCGGAGTGAGTCTTTGGCAGCGGAGGATGCTCGCTCGAATCTGCTCCGGGCTGTCATCATAGCCGGTCGAGCAGACCTGACGGAGGTTTGCATCTTCTTTGCCAGCACCATGGCTTTCAGATCAACACCAAGTGTCGGATCACTCATTCGCATCTGCTTGGTACGCGGTTTCGGAACTATGCTCGGCCTCGCCTCCGCTCCCAGGCAAGCTCTTCCGAGGAAATCGCTGCAAGAAGCTGGACTTTCAAGCTGCAACAGACGGCTTGCCTTGCTAGCTTGTATCTGTGGACGTCTCCTGCCCCCTAGTCCAGTTTGAACAGAACATGCCGGCATATCTCACATCGGCACGGCAGAGCTCTTGTTCCCACATTTTTCACTGTTGGAGCTCATGCGTACTTTCAAGAACCACGGTCTTGAACCACAATGCAAAGCTTCCATTTTGCACTGGGGACAAGCTGCTTATCTTTCCTACATCATGCTCTTCCCTTTTCAATCGATTGCTTTCTGGACGCAGCCTTGGTTTTGACTCGTACATTTTTCGGTGCTGGCTTCGTTGCTTCTTGGCTTCTTGACTTTCAGGCTTCTGGCATGTCTATGCCTTTTGCCTCGTTTGCTCTTCTTATTCTGTGTCTTCGTGGCTTCTCGGCTTTGGCGCTGTCCGTTCGTGGCTACCGATTGCGCTTCTCAATGTTTCCGGTTTCCCTGCTTTTAGCCTTCTGCTGTGGTCGTTTCGTATGTGTGTAAAGCTATTACAGTTTGGTATAGTGCAGTAGTCGCTTCGAATTCGCAAGGAGCCTCCAATTCATATATGCTAGTACATCCCCTTGAATGTGCGAGACCGAGATGTTGGGCAGCCCGCCCTAGAGCCCCCAAGGTTCATGTTGGCTGGAGAACCCTGAAACTTCGTGGTGCGCGGCGAAGCGAAGCCCTAAGCCCTGAAGGAAGATGTCGAATTTGCATTGAAGACTTGGGTTCGATCAGACAATGTACAGTGTCATGCTCGATCGTGGGTCAAGCAGTGCTACTGGGAGCGGGTTCAGGTTGACAGGGCCTGTTCGATGAGGCACCAATCAGCGCAGGCAGATCTTTTTTTGGCATGCAGTATCTTGTTTCCGTGCGGTTCGGCGAGAACGGAGGATTCAGAATTGAAGGGAAGTGGATTAGACTTGAACCGTAAGGACTTAAACCGCGTGGAATACAAGGTTAAGCATCAGTTGGTCAAGACTCCTGAGCATAATTGATGGACCACAGAAAACCAAGTTTAGTGCTGCCAAACGGAAGCTCCATTTTCAACCAGCTTGAGCAATCCGGACTTACATGAACAGTGGCCTTGCATTCGGTGTTGATGCACGATGTTTCAGTGAAGAAAGATGTTATTGATGATGAGGTCTGGCTTCAGTCTTGCTTCAGTTCTGTCTTGCCTGAAAGCACGACCCAGAAGACCGCAGCATACAAACAGCTCTTCGCAGCATTCAGCCGAGCCTTCGCACCTCGTTGCGAAGCCTCCAAACGCGAAATTGGTGCCGTGACCTATTTGTTTCTGTAGCTTGAAGGTGGGTTCGCATTGACCCGTGGCAAAAGGGCCGTGTGTTGATCGGAGACGGCTGCCGATAGTGGGGAAATCCCGAGGTCAATTTTCCTGCCGCCGTGAGGATTTGTCCTGATGCCTAGTATATCTAACGAAACCTAGCATGTTTTGCAAAGTTTAATAGTTGTGTGGTTTTGCTACGTCGAGGATGCGAACGCTTTGACGGCCTTCGACTCACCCAATTTTCCGGAGTTAGCCGTCGTTGGTACACAGGCTCGGCTTTCCAGCATTCAATCAGGGCTGTCAGTATTACTGGTGTCTGCTTGGATGCTACTGAGTTATGCTGGAAGGCATGCACTATGCATTTCGTGTATTTGGCTTCTTTCGATTTCGTTCTCGCGGTAGTCTCCGGCAGGTCAAGATTCATCACCGGCTGCTGTGCAATCCGCCCAAAGGAAGATTCCGCGTGCCCCGCGCAGTGACTTATTCTACTAGCGTATAGACACCAAGCAGTGAAAGAGCTTCCAAGAGCCACTCCAGGAGATGCTCCCAAGGCCCAAGACCACCGCATGAACCCAAAATGTGCATCACCCGACATCAAGTTTAGGAGCACGGAACTCAGGGGCCAAACTGGGTCACAAGGATAAACTGACCTCGCGATCGGCGGCTAAAGACACTGACAGCTCAAGCTCCAAACCCCGAACCTAAAGCTTAAATTTAAGCCCTTTGCCCTAGAAGCTCACCCCCGAACCAGTTTTACCGTTCTTGTAACTAACATCTAGATTTCTGCAGACCGCTGTCCTAGAAACCCGTAACTCCAAAACCGTGAGCCGACCTTACCCCCTAGGCCCTAAGCAAGAATCGTTTCTAGAAGATGGCTAGCTGCAGAGCTGCTTTTGAGACTCTCGACCAAGCCCTAGACCTTCTTACTACACATGGAGCCTGCTTCGAGTCTTTACAAAGAGTGGCAAGCCCGGAAAGTCGTAAATCCAAACATGCGCAGACAAACTGTTTCGATGAAAAGCGCTTAAGTTTTGCAGTCTGAAAATGTTCACGCCGCCTGCGGCACCTCAAGGGTGGCTATACACCTAATGTCAGAACCCAATAGTGTTGCAACATTGTGTTTGGGGCACACAAATGCACCGATTGGACTTTGCAGCAGAGCGAGGTACATCTGATGACGGTGACGGACATCATTGTTGTTTGTGTAGTACCAGGCCAGTGGGGGCCATAACATGCCATAACAGCAGATAGGTTGCGCAATACGCAGCTCGGAAATACCGCCTTCCCACACCCAGTCTATTCAACCTATTCGTCGAACTCGTCACCTCGGCCAAAGGAAGGGCCCGGTCTCGCAAACCGATACAGTCATTTCAAGCCCGAATCTGTGCACATGTCTACGGGGCCGGCCGGGTGAGGGTTGGGGGCGAGCCGTGGGTGCTTCTCTGAATTGTGCAGCTGCCACAGTCCTGTGGCAGCTTGTGCACAGTGGGAGGCTGTGCGCAGTCTTGCAAGCACAGCCTTGCAGTCGAATCTGTAGATTCAAGTCGATGTCCAGGATGCAATTCAATTGCCTGGGTCACAGCCCTTAATGTAGTTAGCCGAGAGCGACAGGCACGATAACCGATAGGCTACTGGGCCTCGCCTTCTGACTTCGGTGGTGATGTTGTCAGTTCATGAGACTGTGAATTGCAGAAGGCCTCTGGAATTTAGTTCCGCAGATTGCAGCGGTTCGGTGAAATTCATGCATGACTGTCCCAAGTTACATCCGTGCTGCGGGTAATCACAACATGGGTCAACAGCAACAATCAGCAACATCAGCAATTTCAATTCGTCCTGAAGGTTTTTCCGATGGCTTCTTCGCGGCCCGTCTTCAAGAATCAAGCATGGGACATTGCACGGTGCAGTACAGAGTTGCCAAGACACGGTGTGCAACACAACTGTCCCTCGGTGAGCCGCAGTGGACTTCTGCAGCTGAGGACAGCGTGGCTGCTGCAGGAAATGTGAAGGGCATTGTTCTCATGCTTTACGGCTTACTCGGAAGCATCTAACTGCTGTTCGTAAGGGTTAAATGCGTTGTGCAGCTTGGTGCTGGACTTGACTTGGTTGGAGTCAGGTTGTGGAAACGCGCCTGCACGCAAAACGAGCTTTCTGGCCGCCTGCTCCAAGCTGCAAGGGGCTAAGTAAGGGGCTTGCAGGGCCATGTTTTGAAGCTCGCCTCCTCATCAGGGTCGAGCTTTGAAATTGTGGCGATTTGGCAGGGTCGCTGCTGGAATTGTCGTGGTGGCCTGTTCTCAGTGTATACATGGCAATGTGGAGCTGGATAAGTACGCAGTGGGACGGGCAATAGCAGACTGCGGTGTGACTTGGCTGAAGTGGGCACTGTGATTCGGCACCGACAGGCTCTACAGTGGCTTGCGATCTTCGTTTCCTGAGCCCTGCAATCCAGAACCCCATCTTGGCAAGGTGATTCCTGGCCATGATATGACTGCAGAGGCTACAGACCGAACCTCAAATTCGAGGCTTTTCGTAGTGTTGCCATGTTTGAAAGATGCCTGTGTCGGAAACGAGAGCGATCTTGACCGCGCTGAGGTCACAAAGTTGGCATACTTGCTGTCCAAGGGTCTTTCCCCGGGCGAGTGCCGCAAGGACGCTTGCAGAATGCTGGCAGTTACAAGCCTTGCAGCCGGTTGTGGTCTAGTGCCGTGGTGTCTGGCAGAGCCTCGAGAGGCTATGCAAGACAACTTGCGCGGTGAAATGTTCTCGCCTGCGAAGACTTTAGAGCCTTGCCTGCATGCTCACTAGCTGTTTCACCCTGACACTGGATTGACCGTTCATGACAATTGCACTCTATGTTCTAAGGACGTTTCTTCCTCGTGGATGGATTTGCCTAGTCCAAGTCCATGAGAAAGGGACGTAGCGAAGCTTCCCCGCAAGGGGGACTCGACTCGACTCCAGATCCGATTTTGCCGCGAGAACAAAGAGTTCTCTCGGTGCCAGGCCGCCAGGCCCACCAGAGCCGAGCGGCCGAGGCCGAAAGATCGCTGCGCCGAAAAGAGGGCGACTAAAAGAGGGCGGCTCCTTCCAACGCAGGAAAAGGCCCTCTAGCGAAGTCTAGCGGAGTTGCAGCCGAACGGGAGCCGACCCATCCGACTCCGTCTCGCAGGTGGTCTTAGACATGGCCGCAGCTCCCGGTGGCAAGACTACGTGCCCTCTAAAACTCTAAAAGTGTGCAATGCGAAAGGCTCCTCTGCTTTGCAACGAAGGTACATTGGCCAACTTATGCGAAACACGGGCACCTTGTTTGCGAATGATCTGCGCCGTGATCGATGCAAGGAGCTCCTTGTAATTATCTTGATCTGGAGCAACGCAAGTGGTTTCAGCTCTGGCTTTTTCCATTTCCACCCAAATCACAGCCTTTGGCGATGCCACATTGCCGCAGGCTCTTGTGGCAAATGTGCACCGGTTGGGCTTGACAAACGTTGTGGTGTCTGCACCTCAGGAGCTGAATTCTAAAAATTTCGTACGCCAAAACATGTCAAAGTCTGTGACTACTCTTTGCATACTTCACGCAGGTTTGAAACTCCGCTGAGTGGCCCAGGACGAACTTGGATGGCAAGAAGCTCTCGAAGATGTTGCCGCGACTGGATCGGGCCAGATGCCAAGAACTTGAACCTGAGCGCAAGGCTGCAGAACTTACAGTACGGGGTGTTGCTCAGTCTAGGCCTGCAACACATACAGCCTAAACACGTTCATGACTGACCGTCGGATCCTTTGGGATTGCGGGGAGTATCAGATAAGTGTGATGTGGTCCGACAAATCGTGGCTTTCGAAATAAGTCCTCGAGGCGGCCATTTCACTGTGTAAATGTCCGCAGCCTCTGTTACTTGTACCATCTCTTCTCAATATACCCACACCCACACCCGCAGTGTGTGGCCCGTTCTTCGGCGGATCTTTCACAGCTCCAAGATCGAGCAGTGTTTTTTGAGAGAAGCTCTTGGAGCTTCTTTCAAGTTCAAGTTGCGCCTTCTGCAGCAAGAGTCTCCGGAAAACTCTTGCTGAAGAAACCGGACATTCAGCGTACTACAACGGATTGCCATTGACGAGGTCCTTTTGGATGCTCCTTGCACAGGCACGCTGACGTTCAATTTGGGCTTCTGAGAACCACCAACATCACTTAGCTTGAAGTCTTGCTGTGCATCTGCAGGTTCCGGCATTATTGCCCGGGATCCATCTGTGAAGGTGAAGAGAGGCCAGAAGGAGCATCTTCAGGGCAGACGCCAGATGACGCCAGTGTGTTCCATTTTGCCACTCAATTTGCTCGTATCTCTTTTCTGCCCTGCTCGTGCTTTGCACTTCTTTGTGCGATGATTTCTTCCTGTTACTTTTTGCTGTTCAGTTCATGAAGTTCATCGTAGTTCAACTGTCTGTGAGAACAGGGTAACGCGAAGTGTATGAAGAGACGTCTTTCGGTAAGTCTTCAGCGGCATTTCAATGAGGTGTGTGGAGATGTTTCAGTAAACAGCTTTTGGAGGGACAGGCAGATGCGTGATTTTCTGCAATCTGTCGTGATTGTTTAGGCCAGGTTTTTTCCCCTTAATGAGAATTTGTAACGGGTCGGCGCGACACTCCAAGTGACTGTTACGCCAGCTGTAACGAGGCTACTGGACTACTGCATTGCATGCGCAGGCCCAGTTCGTAGGCCCCCGCAGTGCTGGCTACCAATTCCGTCGGGCTGCCGAGCTTGTTTGCCAGTGCTGGCAGAAGTTTCGCTTCGATTTCTCCTTCACATCTATTGCACTGCTACGGCTGCTACGCTTTTACATGATGGAGAGCCTCCTCGCAGTCGCAGCTGGCGCAGTCGCATCCGTTTGATTGGTCCGGAAGGTTATCGCATAAAAAATCTTGGGAGGGTCGCTGTCCAGTCCTCATGGATTTGCTGACATCGTGCGTCGACGCGGCTAACGGGTTTCTGGCAGGGCTCCATGCAAGCAGGATTGTTTTTCCTGAAACTGGTTTTAATTAAGGGAGGCAGAAACTGGAATGGTTCCGGAAAACATACGTGCTAGCAGTCGCGAAAGCTAGCTCTGTCGAGCTTGCCGGAGTTGATGTCTACTATGAACTGGGTGGTCTCACTGCGTCGACACCCGCCCCTCACCCCGCACCACCATGCCAATGATTGACTCAGAGACGCTGTGGAGAGGGATCCCCGGCCTTCAACACAGGGCGGCTGTGGCATTCTACTCCCCTCCGCTCCATTTCCCGGTCTGGGCCAGCCCCTTCCCTTCAGGTCAATCTGCCTAGCAACATGTAGTTTGCTCATGTTTGCTCATTGACGTTGCTTGACTTCTGCGCTTTATGATATGTTATGTCTATTGGATCTATTTACGCAGATTTAGTGCGCTGACCTGGCAAGATTCTATCCAGCACCATGGCAAGTGCATTTGTTATCAACGCATTGCTTAGGGTGTCGGTCTGGCAGATTCAAGCACAGGTTTTTCACGTTTTCGAGTGTATGGACCTGGCAGGTTTCAAGAATCTTTTTGCAGGTTTCAGGCACTATGGATCCCTGCCGAGCGTGTGCGCAAAAACGCAAGAGCTCTATCAAATCTGTCGGTTGTGTTTGCCGTAGCTTTCCTGGCCCTCTTCTCTGCGAATGCTGTTACGTCGCAGAAGCCAGTGCTGCGTAGACAGGTACAGGTTGCTTGGAATTTGGGTTTAGCCTGGCTGGCTCAGGAGCCGTCGACGCATCACACAAGTGTACCCGGCCGTAAGCCGTAAACTGTCGGTTCAAAGGTTGCATAGTTTTCTGCCTGCCGGGCTTGGAGCTGGGTCAGGGAGGCAGCACACTTTGGATTGACTTCTAGAGTCGGTGTGGACCATGCTACACATAGTCTGATCAGTATCAAGGAGCCACCTAGACATCATTACTACATGCAGCCGACTGAGGACCGATGGCTGGTTCGAAGAGGAGAAAATAAAACCGGTTCGAAGGTGTTGGAGATGTCTTCCAGAACTCTCATTTGTTGCTTTCCTGCTGCAGGTGTTGATTTTTTTGAGCCAGGCCCAACTTTGGAGGTCTCCAGGAGTCGAGAGCAATATGTCTCTAGCTGGCACTCGGTAGAACTTCACGGTAGATGTCACATGTCCGTGATTTTTTCTCCACTGGCCGAACACTCGTTGCGGCCGTCACGCTGCGCAGATTCCGCCAGGTGCACACGGGTTGAGTCACTACACGATGCATTGGGCAATTTCAAGTAACTTGCCCACCCGTCCCTGGGTGGGTTGGATCTTTGTTCCTGACTCGTTGGGCGATATCTCTTCATTTCTTGATTCCTCTCTGTCGTGTTTTGTGGTTTTCCCGACAGACTGTTATTCTGGGTGTCTCGAGTCGTCGGAAGTGTAAAAAGTCTTGTTCATTCGACCTAGCTCTGCCAAAGCGGTGTCATGCGAGGACTTCGAAAACCACAGCCGCTTGCAAAAGGAATTGCTCGCAGCAGCCATCGACATGGTGGACGCAGGCCCCAGACTGCAGCAGACTGTGGGGACCGTTTAACGGACCGCGGACCGGAGGCTCCAAGACCGGAGGATACATCGTTTATTCCACCTGCTCAGTGTCGGTGGAGGAAAACGAGGCCGGGCCGGGCCCCAAGCCGCCTAAAGCGCAAATTTCTTCTTGGCTCCTGCAGACGGTAGGCGGTAGTGGACCATGCCTTGAAGACGCGGAACGTGGAACTGGTGTCCTTCACAAGCTCCGTTAGCAGGGGCCTCGGCCATAGATGCGAATGGCCCATTCTCCTCCGCCATTGTTGTAGATTCGAAAGACTTGCGCACGCTTCATTCTCGTAGGAGGGACTGTGGCTAAGGTTCCCATCCCAAGCAGCAGCATCTCATGCCCGAAACAAACTCCTGAGCAACCTAAGGCTTTGGCGTCGAAGGTCTGACGAAGTACCGGGAACGACGGTTTCATCCTTCGCTCAACCTAACACGCCGGTATTATCCCCATGTGCACAACATGGCCGCATCCTGAGCACAGAAGAGACAGTCAGTTTCGTCATCACCCTCACCCGCTGCCGCTAGCAGGTCCTGGTGCCGGTTTAAGCATCTCCCCGTGGAGACGACTCGAGACTCGAGACAGTGTGTCTTTCGTTACAAGGATGGCTTCTTCGTCGCAAAGCTGAAGAAAACATCAAACAAAGTGTCCGCGTCTTGGACCTTGGAACCTTGGAGCCCTTTCAGGTGGTCAGCCTTGTCTTCGTACGCGCTCTGTTCTTCTCTGCTCGGAGGCCAGAGCGGGCAAAGAAGGATCGCGCAAAAACAGATGACAAAGAATGGGGTGAGGACAGCTCGGCAGTTTCTTGCGGACGGCTTCATGACGCACCCCAGCTTCTGCTCATGTGCGGTGGTCGGTTTAGAAGACTACACGAAATCCAAAAGAGGTGTCCTATTTTTTCAGGAAAGCGACTGTTCAGGAGCATTGGACTCCAGCCTTCATGGATTCCGTGGTTGATTTCGAGGCACGTCATGGGATGCCGATGACTGTGTATATGTGGTTGACATGGTACAAGCAGATCCCTCGTGCCATTCAAACGTAACCTCGAGGATCGTAGCCTCCAGAAAGGCCTGTGAGCATTTGCCCTGGTGGCTCTAAGTGGTTCTGGACTGGAGAACATCGATCATCGTCCGTGTGCATTGGCTTTTGTCAGAAATACAGGCTCCGATTAAACTCGCAATTGCACAGCATTTTCGACATGCTTGCACCGACCTCTGGTCGAACTGTACGCCTGAAGTTTTCGGGATGCTTCGACTTGCTCGGAGCAAGCGACACCAAACGCAGGATGTTCTCTTTTCAGCCACTAAGCCTGTTGATGCTCAACGCAATTGACATACAACAACTGGCAAATCTTCTCTGATTTCTCCCATGGCGTTCAACATAGATCGCATGTAGCCAGCCTGGTCGAGACTTGTGAAGGTCGGTGAGTGCACTCGCGTTTTCCTCTGGAATCGGCCGCTGTGATTTAGACTGCTGTCAGTTGGCAGCGGAGCCGGCCGCTCCTGCAGCTTCGGATGAGTTCCTCGCTGGAACAGCCTCGAGAACAAGACCTGCTGCTGGGCCGGTCAAGCCGAAGTACCCGCAGGCCGCGGAAGATCGAGGCCCAGCACCTCCTCGACTATTCGATCCATCGGGCCAGGACATGAGCGAGGCGATGGGCAGAAGACGAAATGAGAGCGAAGTACCGAGGCAAGCCCTCCTCGGTGAATTTAGGCTTGCGAAGCTGTGCGTGCTTATGGTCGCTACGAAAGAAGAGGTGCAGGCATTTATGCTCAAGCGCGAGGCTGCGATGTTTCTCTTTCAAAGGAGAGGCGGAAGAGCAATGCGGGCCGAAAAGTCGCTCCTGGCCACCGGCATCAACGTGGCTGCCATGTTCGATGGTGAGTCACGAGCATCGCGGCTGTTGGACAGCATGCGGCTCACTACGGGGCAGCAGATGCTCGTCCTGGGTGGCTACCGGACAGAGTCTGCATTCGGGCGCCATCCACGATGCCGGCCAGCTGTAATATCCAGAACACCGCCCGACATCCGCCGTTGCCTACATGTTTGACACCCACGGCGGCAGCGACCAGCAGCACGATGCATGATGAAAGCCCCAAGAGCCACCCCAAAAACGGCATGGACGGCAGCAAGGGCAACCGGCAGCAGAAGGGAAACAAGGGCGACTGACATCCGCACACGATGACGACGTCAGGCCGACGAGCTGCCCGAGATCCCCCGAAGAGGACGAGGACCTGGAGCAAGACGACCAGGATGAGGAACTTGTTCCAGAGAGGGAGGCGGCGACGAGAGCTTCAAGGAACCGACATTCAGCACCACGAGCGCAACGAGATCACCCGGGATAGCCCCGCACCGACAAGACTGTCAGAGACGCTGTTGATGACAATCGCCACCGCCGGTGCCAAGCGTGCCTATGGCAGGGACAATAAGCGAAGGTACTTGTGGGTCTCAGATGCCAAAAGTCACGAAAGCTAGCTCTTTGGAACTTGTGACAAATGTCGTTTACAAACCTTCTTGGCCTTTACTGTTAAGGGCTAAGGGGGTTCAACAAGCGACCCCGGGCCGGAACTGGTGCGAAAGTCAATCAATGAGTTAACGGGCTGCGGGGTGGTGGGGCTAAGAGCCCCAGCTACCGCGGCAAGGAGATCACCTTCAAGAAGTTTGGGGACCGGTACAAGCACGTCGTGACGCAGCGTGAATGGAAGGAGGCAGCATACCGCGCGGCCCGGGCACAACAACCTGAGGCCTCGACCCTTGGGTATCCGTTGCCGGCAGTATCGGACCGTTGGTGTCCTTCTCCAATCGGGGAACGGAGACCGGATTTCCAGCACTTATTCGACGCGGTCACCTACCTCAAAAAAACTGCGACCGGGGCCTCGTGCACCAAGACTTGGAACTCAACGACAACAGCATCTTTGTGACGCACACATGCCGCTCCACCTGGCGCAGAAGCGAGCTTTGCAGATGAAGGCGCCGATCGTGCCCTCTTTGCCAGCGCGTGCCTCAGCGAGGTCATGTTCGGCGAGCCGGAACTGAAAGGCGAGGCCGTTTCGCGAACGCGCAAGTGGGTGATGCCAAAAGCCTGTATCACACGGTTGTAGCTGAGAACCCGAGTGTGAGCAACAATCTGGGCTGGACTAACATCCGTAGCGTTCAGCAGCGTGTACGCCCAAAACACAATCGATGGCGTCCTCTGGAACATTACTGAACATATGGTGGCCATGGCTTAACCAAGCTAGACTCAGGGCTCGCAAGAAGTCTGCGCCAGTTTCTCCAGAACCCTGTCCTCGTGCTGACCAAACAAGTCCGAAGTCCCAAAAGAAAACATTGCCAGTGTGAGAGATCGTGTGGAGCCGACCTGGTTGAGATGTGTGAAGGTCAGTGAACGCACTCGCCTTTTCCTCGGGTCGGCCGCTGCGCCTTTTTACACTTTTGCAGCAAAACATGTGCGCGTGCAGAGCTGCCGTGATTTAGACTTCTGCCACATAAAACATACCCGAAAGCTCGAGGCCCCGAGCCCGCACCAAATTTCCACATCCGAAACCTTGAAACCAAATCCAAGCCAGGGGCCTGCAATGGCTTGCAGCTGCAAAAAGAGCCACAACACAACTTGATATCTTAGGCCACGGACCATAAGGCGATAGCAAGGCCAAGTACTGAGCCCTGTTGGACTATAAATTGTTATTACAGATTGCGGCGTTGGAACAGAGTTTGGCAGCGCATCTCAAGTACGTTTCGTTCCGATTGATTCCAAATTCACCAGATGAGCAGCAACATTGTCCGTATCAGGCCGGGAATGGGCAAGCTGTCGAGTGCTAAGTGGCCGATGTCGATACTGAATACTGAGCATTGCTGAGACAAAGCGCTTTGGAGCCGCTTCACAGATTTTCAAAGGCCAGCACCAAGAAAACGGCGCGAGAGAAGAAGCGTCTTCGACGTCGGAGGCCCAGGTTGTGAGGCTGCGCTGCTGTCTGCCGCGACAGTCGTAAATGCCGCGAAACTGCCCTTTCGCAGGAAGATCTTTAGGTGTCAGGTCGGACGGTTTGGACACATCTCGCCTGCGAGGACAGAAGCTCATCGACGCGCGCGGGTTTCAACAAAAGTTCCCACCACGCAGCGCAACCGAAGGCACTGCCAAAGAGCAGGCCGATGGGAGAGTGGCAGGCTGTTGGAGTTTGAGCTGCTTCTCGTGTTACACTTTCGTGCAGGCTGAAGCTGAGCCTCGCAAAAGAAAGAAAAAGATGCAGGCGAAAGAACTGCAGAGCGAGGTCAGCGACGTCAAATCCAGAAAGTCACCAAAGAAGGCCGCTCGACGGCCATTCCGCCGCTTTCTGTCAGCCCGATTCCGGGGTTTCACGAAAATTTCGAAATCCTACGCTTTGCCGCATCTAGCTAGCATTCTTTCATTCGGATCTATCTTGATGCGTGCGAGGGTGGGTAACGCCCGCAATTGCAGGGTTAACCAAAAAGCTCACTGTAAAGCTGTAACAGACATGCATCCTTTCCTGTGGAGGTCTCTCCACTCACTGGAATCAATTCCAAAGCGTCACATGGTTAGGACTGGGAATACATTCGTCATTGCCCTGTTTGGAGTCCCAGAGCGATGACTTTGCAGGGCCATGTCACTGGCTGTCCGTTTTCATAAGCATCCTTCACGGCACGATTGAGCACTATGAACGCTGCATCTTCGGGGCCTTGCTGGCAATCAAGACTGCGAGTGTGCTGTTGCGCAGTGCATACAAGTAGAAGTGATACAGTGCAGCTATGAGGTCCGGCCTGTGGAGCCTTGGAGGTTGTTCATGATTGGTTCCAACACCCACCCCATCCCCGTTTGAGCCATAGCTGGCAGCCAGCATGAGAATCCACGTTCAGCAATCCAGTTGAACTCATACCGTTTGGAAGGTGCTGCCGACAAGCAGAAGGGCGAAAGCAGTCAAAAGCAAGACCAAAGCCAAGGACACAGCATGTTTGTTGCGCGTTTTAAGCGTCGTCAGTTCCCTTATATGGTACATTGGTACATCATCTGCCGAACCGGCAGGGCAAAATGAAAAGGCAAAAGCTTTAGGCAGGTGGTTTGCTAGTTGATCTCTCAGGCTGCTGTGCTCACGGTCACGACTCCCGCAAGTGCCAGGCCAGGGGAGGCTGAGGATGAGCCGACATTGACGGCATCGATTGCCCTACAGTGTCGCCACATCAGGCTCTCAAAAAGGCAAGTGTAGCCACAAACAGCTCGCCGCAGCTTGCCGCGTTATTTTGGTCGCTGCCGACATCCGTCACAAGTTGCGCTCATGCAAAAAGCCATCAGAATGCACGAAGCAAGCTGTCCCACTGCCTTCATCAATCAAATCACAGCACGAATTCGCGAGCAGATGCAAAGTTCGCAGATGGGATGCAGAACACAGGCTGACAATTATTGGATGCGCGCTTGTAGCCCCGATGCGTCCGCAAACAGAAGGGCAGATCGAGGCCTCGAGCATGTCCAGTGCAGGAAGCCAGGAGGCTAAGCAATGCTAAGCTGCTAAGTGCAGCTAAGCGATTTAGGTGCTGGTATGCGCTGGTGGTGCAAGGCCTTGGCAACGGCAATCAACTGGGTTGGGCTATGGAGACAAGTGTGGAGCTGAGGGAAGGAGCAAATCCTCAAAGCACAGCTTGTACGGCGTGTACGGGATATCTCAGGCAGACTTCGACTCGCCGCTGCGAAGCGATGCCTTGACATGGGTCCCGGGCTTCGGGGACTGCTCGGCCTGTGGGCACTCCTCATCGGCATGTCACGTTCTGTGCCGCACTCTCGCCTCAGACCACTGACGAAGTTCGCCACTATGTGAGAAGTGGAGGCACGGAGCTGCCGCAACACCAGGCAAGGTTGGGGTTGTGATTGTGGTTGTCGTTGTGGCGGTTGTTGTCATCGTGGTGGTTGTTGTCGTTGTGGTCGTCGTAGGTGGCGTAGTGCAGACAAAAACCGTAGCCACAAGCTCGGTAACAGAAAGATAATGCGACCTATGTTTTGGACAGTCGCTGCCCTTGTGAAGGCATTGTTTGTTG